AACACACACCCAGATCAATATAAGAATACCTTTAGATCAGCTTTCTCCAGTAAGCTGTCGCCGACTTCTTCCACGACCTTCTTCAGCTTATCTACATATCTAAACATCTCCTGAGACAAAATCAAAGCAAAGCAATTTAAGGTTAATAAAATAAACTGAAGAGAAATGTCAATAAAAGCACAAACAATTCTTTTAATAAGCCACTCAACACAAGGGCTATTAACACTGTTTTCACAGAAACTTATAATGACTTTAGTACCAGTGTTTACAAGTTCAATGCGTCACTGATCCTAAGTAAGCTTCTACAGCAAAATGAACTATTAGTAGTATACTAGTGTGTAGACAAAGTACCTCTACGGTTTCAGAGTCATCATCTTCATTTCGCAACAGAGAGTTCACCTGATCCCCACCTGATATGCAAAGATCGTGTCAATTCAAAAGAACAGATGTTATTAAATCTGAAAACAGATAACTGGAGGCAAACATAGCATGTCTATATAAAATTTCTATTCACCTCCACCAATAGCACCCGCACCCGCATCATTGTCAGCCATTTCATCATTGGCAGTGAGACGGAAAAAAAAGAGTCAAGGACATCAAATACAGAGCAAAACAGCAATTCACCAAATCATATTTGATCAAACAAGCTTGTAGGGGTTACTTAAGCGATAACAAGGTATGTTTAAACAGTTAAAAGGATATGGTTCAGTTGGACCAATTACGTAGCCGCTGAAGTGAACGCTCCCATTCTTCCAGCTGTGAGACAGCTCAAAACCCTTATCCAACAAGATCTGCATGCTCAGCTGAGGAATCTTCCCATTGGGTAGAGTCCCGATGCCAATCTTATGATCTCCAGCTTTCATGTAAAGCTGGACTGACACGTTTTCATTGGTGTCACTCTTACCCAGAGTAGCCTTCAACAAGATCAACCAAATGCATTGTTTAAAATCACATCAAGAGTGCAATTGAAAACCAGTGTATACCTGTGAGATGTGCACACTCTTGCCCTCAACAGGATCCACCCGAAGTGAAGCGCCACTTTTAACTTCAACAGCTGCAATAGCATCATTACAAACAATTCAACTAACAACAAAAAATTGCATGAGAAACTGCAAAATCTCTACTACATTGTTTACAGCAAATTCTCTACTGTTTTCTTCTTCGTTTTCAGTGATGAATCTAGAAACTAGAAACAAATTTCCAAATTCCCCCAAATTTCTACGGAAACCGAACAGTCTTATACTCCAAATCTGTCACACAAACTTGCTATTCTCAACGAAAACATTTCTCGTTTCGCTAATCAGATGATTCCGGGAAAGAAACAGTGAAACAAATTACGGAAAACGCGCAAAACCAGAACATAGAACCCTAGATACAGAACGCAGGAAATGAAGAAGAATACGACGAAGTAAGTGAGGAAATCGCTTACTCCAAAACGCCATTGCCGTGCGATGTAGCGACTCGAAGACGACGATACGTCGAAGAAGAAGATGAGAGCGATTCGGCTTGAAGAGGTTTTAGGGATTGAAGAGAAAAACGCTGAAATTTATTTCGATGAAGCGTGGGATTTTTAGTGATTTCTTTATTGGGCCTGGTTTTTAAAATGAGCCCAATTAAATTACTGTTATACGAGCCCATCTATGTAACATTTTTTTTTTTAACGGAATTATTGATCGCTTCGTATGGAACTCAAAACCTTGTATTATTGCTTTTGTAATATTTATGTATTCTTATATAATATTTTAAAGTTTTTCCAAACAGAGAGATGTCATGTGTCATTTACTCTTTTGATATTTGTCTTTTCATTTTTTTTATTAAAAACAAATTTAGTGTTCTTGAA